GGCCGGGGCCAAGGCCGGTGACCCTCCTCGGTTTTCGACCTCGGCCTCCCGGGTACCCGCCTGCGTTCCCCTCCTGCCTACGAATATGCATCGTGCCTTGAACAGTGTTTTGTAAACCGATTAAAGCATCCCACTGACATAATGGTTTCGCTTAGCTGTTAATTTACAGCTGGCTTTGAGCCATAAACTCTTTTCCATGAGAAAGGAGCAGCGACCGAAAAGAGCCGTTGTACCGGCTGTTTCGCAAAGCCACCGGCACAGGAGGTTAATGTTTGCCCTGCCTTATCCCCGTGAATTCCTGCGTTGTATTTGCCATGCAAAAATCCGCCCCCCCCCGGCAGCCCCACACCGCCCATTGCCCGGGAGGTTTCCTGGTCAGCCTCTGCCCCCAGCGCCGCGCCTCTCGGGCCGGCACCCCGCTGGCCCTGGGGGCCCAAACCCTCCCGGCCTGAGCGCGCTGCCGTGCCCAGGGGGTGCGGTTATCGGTCAGTTCGCTCTTGGGACTGAGCACAGGTCAAAACCCGGGAAGAAACCGACCAGGGGTCGTGATGGGACGGGTGGCGACCTCAAACTGCAGCCACTTGCAGGCGACGGGCTTGGACTGCAGCCCCGCCTGAGCCCGGCTCGCCGCCGCGGCTCCAGGCCTGTTTGCCGTTGGCTACAGTTAACTTGAGGGGTTTTATGGTTTCCTGCGTGCGTTGTTTTTGTTCTCAGTTATAATTAAGGCCGGTGTTGCCAAACGGATTGTTTCTCTGGGGACTCTTTGGTGACACAAGTTGTTGCCTCTGGATAGCTAAGTGGAAGTCAGGCTAAAATATATGTGTGTGTATATATATTCACACATTACATATGCATATATATACATAAATGGAAAATATTCATATGTTCCTTGCTGCCTGCACTATGGAGCAAGGCAAGTGTCTCACTAGAGGAAGTACCCAGAACTAAGCCACGCAAGGATATATCACCAAATGTACTCCTTTTTTTTTAATAGACCATATTTCCAATATAATTGTGGAAGGAAAAGTAGTAGCCCTTTAGAAAATGTGAAAACTAGCAAATTTATTGCAAAGATTCTTTAATGAAGATCTATGTTAAAAGAAAACTAGATTTTAGGAATCGCAACTGGTGTCTGACCGTAGGTTTGCCTCACACCGGATCCTCTCTTGGACGTGGGCCAGAGTGGCGGGTGCCTATAAAGAAGTGCATTTCCACAGCACCGTGAAATCTCCGACTCGCGATTGCTGTAGCTGTCGTTTCCTCTCGCTGCCCTGTCGCCGCTGCCGGGGCCTCTGCCCCAGCTGGCGTGAGAGGCCCCAGCCCCGCTCCTGGAAGCTGCAACCATGCTCGCGCAAACAAGGCTAAGCAGAGTTGCTCCTTCCCTGGTGCGCCTTCACCGGGCCTCTGGTGATCAGCATTTTAGAGACTTCTTACAGCCACACGTGGTCATTGTCACCAATGAATCCTGCTCCATTAATTTATTCTATCCTCCACGGCATCCGCTTCTTGCTTGTGGCCTCTACAACATCTAGTCGTAATGCTGTGTGAATTCGTTTGTGTGCCGAGTGAGAAGTTTCTATTTTCTATTTCAACTTTTGTATAGATAATTTTGTCCATTCTTATACAGTGATGATTTTGTCTCTTCTTCATCTTTCACTAAGTCACTCAGTTTTATAGCTCTTTGCCATTTCTCCATCAGCTCATCT